GGCACTGACCTTCACAAGAGGTGTCAGCACAGCCCCTACACCTTATGGCACCTCCTAAACCTGCACCCCCACACCCCTGAGACCTCAAACCACCCTATAACCCCCTTAAATCTACCCCTATGTCCCCATGAGACCCCTAGACCCACTTCCCACACCCCTGAGACCCCCCAGAATCCTCCTATAGCCCCCTAAAGGTGCCCCTACGCCCTTGTGACCCCTCTAGATCCGCTCCCCAACCTTTGAGACCCCCTAAACCTGCCCCTACACATGTGGCCAAGGAGAAAAGAAAGGGAAATGTTGCTGGAGTTTTCCTTCCAACACCCTTAAAAGCCCTGCTGTGATGGAGATATTGAAAGTGCCAACAGAGGTGAGATGGATAGTGTGGAATCTCAGATTCCTCACATTTTACCTGTTGCTCACAACAACAAACACTGAACCAACAGGAGGTCTGGGGGCTGGAGGAGCACTCCTGGCTCCTACTGATCAGCTGGAGTGATGTGCTCTGACCTGAGCGCTCTGTGGGCACAGCTTCCAGGTTTTCTTTACCTGGAAAGACCCAACCACCACCAAAACACAGGCACTGCATAAAAACAGTGACCAAAAGTGTCCACAGAAGTGAGAGGGGTGGAAGGGGAGGTGGGCTGTCCCCAGCTGCCTTCTCTGAGGGAAGCAAAAGTGGCAATAAACTCTGGAGAGATGCTCTTCAGACACTTGGGGAGCTCAGGTTTGGCAGATCCCAGCGTGGGAAATGCATTCTGCCTCCCAGAACCAGCTGCTCCCATCCTGCCTGGGGAAGGGGGTCATGGCACAGGAGCAGGATGAAGCCCTCTCAAAACCAGCTGCCTTGTCTGAAGAACAATTGTCTCCATGTCTAGGACAGAGACACTTTCCTTTTTCCCTTAGACAAGCCTTATCTAGACCTGGGCTGAGAAGTAAAGGCTGCACCCAACACCAGTCCAGCTGCAGAGCTTAGGGACTTCTGAAACCACCTGCTATGAACTGCCTGGGGAAGTCACTGAGGGCTTTGCCTCAGCCTTGAACTGCCCTTCAGGCATCAGCAAGTGCTGGGGACAGAAGCAGTTCGTCTTCCTTCCTGCAACCAGTGCCTTACAGGAAGGGTCCTCATGGAACCCTGGAAGGAATCAGCCTTTGTGAGGGCTGCAGGATGGAAGGAAGGGGTGGAGATGTTTCCAGGCTGTAGGTTTAGAGCAGAAGGCCAGTGCTGCAGGCTTGAGGTCACAGGTGCTCAGTGTGGCATCCAGGGTGCAGAGCTCAGCAGAACAAGTGTTTCTGTTCAATGTGATTAAATGTATATTAATCTATTCAGGATCAGGCAGCAGGGGGGGAAGCTGAAAGGGCTGCTGATGTGCAGGCTACAGTCAGAGAGCTCCAACTGCCTCCGTGTCTGAAGTGTCCCACTGCTGCTTTGGAGCTGGCTGTGCATCTCAGAGCTTCTCATGCCAAGTTTCCAGGGTTTTTCCTGCCCTCATCCCATCACTTCCATGGCTGGGACTGGCTGACCCACAGAGCACAGAGTTAGCAGGGTCCTGTCTCCCCTGAGGCTCCTTGGGGAGCATCCAAGAGGAACAGGAATGACCCCAGAGGAGTTCAGGTGTGAGGTGGCATGTGGGAGATGAACTCCTCTCCATCTCCTCATCTCTCTCCATCCTTCCCTCAGGAACTCCAGGCACCTCCCAGCCGGTGCCCCAGCCCTGCCCTCAGCAGCACCTGCAGGAGCTGCTTTGCTTGGGCTCCACTGCCTGAGCTGAGCCCACCTCCATTTGTCACTGTCACCTCCACTCTCTGCTCACTGACACCAAACCAGCCTGATGGAAAAATGAAGCCATGGTTTATTTAGCAGGACTTCAGGGCACCCTTCCAGTTATAAGTTTGGAAACAGAAGTTCCAAGTAAAACAAATCCCAAACTCAATCAGCACATGTGTAATGAGGACAGTCCTTTCTGGTTGCTCAACCTCTCCTACTCTGCAGTGCTGAGACAACCCAGAGCTGGTGCTTTTCACATCCCACCACAAAACTCTACAGCTGTGGTCTTCTCCAGACAATTTGCAGCACCAATGAGCAGTGCTTTGCCTGGATCTTACTGCACATTTCTGCCTCTATGTTTTTCCCCAAGCTGTCCCCTATTTCCTTCCTTTTAAAAAATTTTTTTCCCTTTTCAAAAAAATAAGTATTAGTGACCCTTCTACCTCCACACCAGGGCTTACCACCTTTATTCTGGTTGAACATACTTGTTTTCCAACTTTTACTTCCTTCCTTCACAGATTTTAGCATTCACTTATACGATTTCCTGATTCCCACAAAGCTGAGTAACAGAGCACAGATCCAGCATTGCCCTGTTCTGCCAAGGAAACCTTACAGGAAAACATTCCCTGTATGGCTGTTTTATGAGCTCAGGATCCTTTGTAAGTGATTAGCTTCCTGTCTCCTATGATCTATGGGGACATGTTAACAGCAGGCACAGCCAGGAACAAGTTCTTTTGGGCAGTTTACAAGAGCAAGTTTTCCCTTCCCAGCTTTGGCAAGGCCTGGCTGTGATATTCAGTCCAACTGGCAGCACTGATCCATCACCCTACAGCTGCCAAGGGCTGTGGGAGGCTCTGCTGGGACTGGAGTCCCTTCTCCTTCGGGGCTCGGTTTGGGAATATCTCCTTTAGTGGGCTCCTGCTGCCTCTGGGTGCCTTTTGGAGCCCTGGCTGGGCTGTCGTGGCTTTTGTCCCTCACACAGTCTGGACAAACCCACAGACAAGGTGCCTTCCCCTTCTGAGGCATCTTGCCTTGCTCATCTCATGTCCCAACCCTCAGCCAGCACCAAGTGGACTCCTCACTGACAGCTGTCCTTTGTAATGGGGTCATGTTCAGCTGGAGAAGACAACTCAAGTGCTGTTCTCCAGACCAGCATTTTACTGCACAGGTAACTCTCTGGTGTAGAGAATTACAGGGGTCCCTGGTTCTGAGGGAAATGGGAGAGCAAAGGAATCCTTCTTAGTTCTCAGGAAAATTACTTTGTTCTCAGCAAAAGGCTTCCAGAGAACATCATCACCTGGGCCTGTCTGCACAGGGTGATGAACACTGCACCAAAACCCTTCAAACTGCCCCAACCAAACACTCCCAACCACACAGTCCCAACCAAACACTCCCAACCACACAGTCCCAACCAAACACTCCCAACCACACAGTCCCAACCAAACACTCCCAACCACACAGTCCCTGC